TAACATCTGATTGTCTTCCGGTGCCCACATCCTCAAACAGTTCGGAATCAATATTCGAGGCTATCTGGCAGAATTACATATTCACACTATGATGCAAGCAGTTTAACACGCTGCTCCTAATCTCACGGTGGAGTCACTTGGTATTAGTGTGTACTGTTTCTCAGAAACAAGAATTTAAGATACAAGCAAAGCGTTGGCTTCATCATTCCGCCCCTTGCATCTGGCGACCGAAAGACCGCTACGACGGGACGTGCAGGGATTGGTATCGTACAAGTCACCATGCCAAACTGTCATTACTCGACGAGATGCTCGTGGATAGTCATTTCTATGTTGTTCGTCTTGCTAAGTCTGTGAATTAGTCTCACAAACAGAAAGTTGATCGATATCTGGTTGTCATGTCTGTCTAAGCCTCATATTACTCTGGCTCTTACCCGTCACAGACAGGTTTTATGACGCCCAGAAGGCAAGCTAAAACCTCAGATAACGTTTGGTTGCCGGCGATATTAATGCAGAGTTGGACAGGCTCAGAAGCTCTAAACCTCAACCTCATACGTATAGAGGGCCAACAGATTGTGTGCTCCTGAATTTGAAAGCCGTATTCGATTGGGTCGACCGGTTTGACCTTTTTGACACATTCGCCCACCAACGAGTGGCTTGGATTGTGTGCTCCTGAATTTGAAAGCCGTATTCGATTCGGTCGACCGGTTTGACCTTTTTGACAAATTTGCCCACCAACGAGTGGCTTGGAAATTTGTGAACAAATCACTCACTTTATATTCCAAAAATTCCCGAAATCAAGGCGGTATACACTTGAGTCTCAAGGAAGGCGTTTATCACGCTACAGTACAGGGTGTAGTTTTGCATGGCAGTGAGATGTGGACTGTCCGAGCTGCAGAAATCAGACGATTTCAGAGGTTCGATCATTGTTATTCGGGAACCGTAGGTGACGTTCTCTGCTGCCAGTCGCAGATTCGTTGGCACTTACTGGTGATTCTTCTGTTTGAATAAGTTTTTGTGCACTCCAGTGCATTAATTTCGTATTGCTGCTTCAACGTTGGTAGGTTATTCACAATTGGTCAACAGTTTGTCAATCAGTAAATGTTCTGCGCTCGAAGAACAGAAACCCATTTTGTCCCTAAACTGTTCATGCTGCATCCCATTCTCCCATTACTTCCAATCCAGTTGTCCGATGATTGTGATGCAGTTTATCGCGGCGACCATCGAGTTGTGTTACCGTACACCATAGTCACTGTATGATAAGACAGACTGGTTAAATAAGCGTTAAATCACTTCATTGATGTAAATGGTTTCGGTCTGTTACAGCGGCGGAAGTTCTCGGATAATTCCACGTCAATCGAAATCTGCAACGGCGACATTGGGTTCCGAACACGGCATTGTGCGAGTATGAATGACTCATGTACACAACTTCTGGATTCGTTCATCTGAAGTCGCCCGCACTTACCAGAAGACCATGAAGTCCTGTGACCACGAGCGTCTTTGACTGAGAGAGGAGTATTCCAGTGGCATATACAGCTCTCAACAAGATCTGGGGCGAACCATCATATGTTCGGTAAAGACCGATAATCCGGCGGAGAAACTGGAAAACTAGGGGAGCTTTTGAGTAAGAGAATGATTGCAGTCTGTTCCGCATAACAATCTCAAATGCTTCCACAATGGAGAACGTTGACATACTACTTACAAAATGACAAGGGCTTGCATCGTTTTAAGTACCGTCGTCGAGAGGCATGAGCTTAACAGCTTGAAGAAAAGACCAACTAGCATTCGTCACCCGACAATATAGAACAAATAATGAACCCTAGCGGAACTTCGTTTCTGCACAACAAGGCGCCTGTCCCAAAAGACATGCATCTGGTAAACTTTAAAAGACAAGAGCGCCTAAAATGGGGGCATCGAATTGAAGATCCTATTCAAACATTTTGCAATACAATTGTGCACAAGCATCCGAGGTATCAACCAAATTACCAACCTTCTTCCTGACATTATTCGAACCATGTTGCTCCATCATAAAGGCAGTCAAATTCCCGAGAAGAAGAGCCGTATTAGCTGCTGTTTGAGTTGTATCGGCCACAGTTTCACTTCACAAGATTGCAAAGGCGATAGCTTTTGTCCAGCGGTCATCTGTTTCTATTTGAATTCCGCACAACCCCATTAAAAGTTTAATTATTCAAGCGCAAGCTGGTTGACATACACGTTGCTATTCTGTCACCAATTTTCTGAGGAATCAACGTCCGTTCGCAATAAGACACGGTAACTAAATCAAGTTGGAAATTTGTGCACCCATCTAAATGAACGGCGTCATCCGACAAAGTGTTCATATGCTGACGAACTCTATGTGGCTATACCGAACGTATGATTCAGTGCTTGTTCATATGCTTCGTGTCCAACACTTCCACATACGACCGAATATACCTCTGTAGAATACCAGTATGTTCGAGGAGGGTCAGAAACTACCCGAAACATTGATAGTTTGCAGAACATTCGGGAGTTTTCCAGCGTCCGGTGAACTTAGTTTTATAACTGTTAACATGGATATTCGCCTTCTGAGTACGGAGTGGGCAGCCCACCGGTATTGTTTAGTTAACTCCGCTCAGAAAGATCTAAACAAATAGACCTACGCAGTTCTGGTTAATCGAAGAATCAACCTAATTATAAAGAGAATTTCTGATAATTGTTGGAGCTTAGCGTGCCTAAGGTTTAAAGAAATGAAATGAACAAGGTGTTGATCTACTACAGGAGGAGACGTCCTAATGATTTACCGTTCAATATTTCACTAATGAACTTTGAAACGGAAATTTTATTTTAATTAATTAACTCGGGGATGTTTTGCTGTTTGGTTGTGTTATTTGT